CGGATGGGGTAAACCTTACACTTGTGAAAAATAATACACGAAGTCGATTCCCTGCCTATCACAGAAAATATAGTTGTAAAAATAAATCATAACTTTCATGTATGTGCCTTGAACGGAAGATTTTCTTATCTGCAGTGAAATGGATAGACAGTTTTGTGGCAATTTAGTAATAATATTTAATACTCTTGCTTTATACTCCTTATTTATAACTGTTACATAATCAAGGTTTTAATTAGAGTATGTTATTGAAAGACGGCTTGAAAATTTGGGGGGGGGGGACTTTTTTAGCCACGTTTGTGTTGCATTTTTTGATTGAGCTTTTTCAGCCCCTGGTTACAAGGATTGTTAATACATAGACAAAATCTCAGATATATGAGAAAAACAGATTAGAATATTTCATGACATCTGTGAAATGTTGCTCTAATCCAAATGCAGTGGACATATAAGCTTGATGGGCAAGGATAATAGATGAGAGGAAAATTCATAAGTAGGATTCAGCAGCTAGGTAGGATTGTGAAATAAAATGCCAGATACTGAAAGGATTTTAAAGGACTCTGGAAAATCAGGATCCAAAATTATACAGTTAAGATAGATAATATCTCATTCTGAAAGACCAGATTCTGTGATATTATATTGTATTGCCTGTCATGGAATTTGAAACCAGTGAAGAGAAGGTATTAAAATCAGTTTTTGTATTGGATGAGAACTTTCTAATGTAAAGGATACCTAGGATAGTATAATGGTATGTGGGAATGACCTTGGGAGACAGGAAGAAGAGCTGCAGACTAGGCAATGGTTAGATAAGAGGCAGCCGAGCCCGCAGAAGGAATGGGAGCATGACAAACATTTCAGAAGGAACCCTCCCTAGTTTCTTGGGCTGTAAAGGTGAGGGGGGAGACATGTACGTTCAGACTTGCAAGATTCTATTAATCTTGCAAGTCTGCAAGATTCTATTAATCTTACAAGTCTGCAAGATTTACAGTAAAGTTAGAGCTAGTACTTCTAGGTGTGCTGCTTGTCTGGACTACCTTGCAAGGCTGACAGGAAGTCTCTGTGCTTCCTTAGTTCCCTTTCTCATTTAAAGGTAATAGCCTATTATGGTTGTGTCTTTACGTGTAACGTTCTTATCTGTCCATAGTTGGTATGTATGCAAAGTAATCTCTGAATTCCAATTAAATAATCATCCCATTTCCTAAATGGAGATCCTTGGAATTTGTTACATTAGTGCATCTCGCAATTAAAAGTCTCAGTTCATTAAAAGGAACTGTTTTTTTCCTCACTAAATTTGGTAATATTAAACCAAATTGATCTTCACTGGATCAATTATTCTTCACACTCAACGATTCAAAGCTAACAAGGGCATATTTTAGGTGGCTGCTTTTGTCCAGCCTTGGCTGATCTTGAATACTAAACATGGTCAGGCTTTGTTAATATGGGAGGCCATCTTGGAAGATCAGTGTTGTAAGCTAGAAGTGGGAAGCATTCTGGAAGACAGCAGGAGCAAACCACTTCCAAATCATGCCAAGACAACTGAATGGATGTGTCAGTGTAAATCACTCAGAGCTGAGCACAACTGAGAGGTATCTTTACTTGTTACAGTGAATTAAAGACATCTTTTCCACAATTGTACAATACAGTTAGAGGAGACAAGAATTGCAGTCTCCAATACAGTAAGCTAAGGTAAAACATACGATCTGGATTAAAAATCCTGAAACAGTTTAGGAACTGCTTAAATGTAAGACTGTTTCCACAGACGCCTGCTAATAATTAATCATCATGATCAGAGACGGGTTGTGCGATTCACTAGAAAAGTTAGATTATCGGAGAGCAGGGCTTTTTCGGCAGGAGCTTTGTGTCTATTGATTCTTCCTGAGCAAGGTGAGGGTGGCATCTTTTGTTTGTTTGTTTAAACTGTTCTGTCTGTAAAGAGTTTAATAATACGTAAGGTTTGTTGTTCTTCAGTTTTTAACTCTGCTTCCAAATTTTATTGTATGTGTTTGACTATGGAAAAAGACAATGCCCTTGATTTTTCACAGAACACAGTACAGTCCTATTGGAACATCCAAAATTGCATGAGTGGACTTTCCCTTCCGCTCTCTGAAGCAGCCCCCCTCCAAAATCAACACTGAAGTGTCCCCAGCACCCTGGAGATGCTTGGAAGACTGGCTGGGCCATTCCCTATGTCATAGTGATAAACCATTCAATCCACAGGAGACTACGTATTTCAGTGCAGCAGCTAGCAAATTCGATAAGGGATTATTATTAAAAAAAAAAAAAAAGTTAGTACCCGTAGTGTTTCTTAAACTGCTATTAGTATCCATTGGATTGCATCTTTATATTATACACTAATAAAATAGGATCTATTGGGAAAGCCAACTTTTGCTTTGTTTTTAAAATGACATTAAAATGTGGCTAATTTACAGCAAGTGCATTTTAATTATATTATAATTTTCTTCCTAGGTTCAGACATTGTTCAGTGGTTAACAAAGAATTTGTCGATAGAAGATCCAGGTAAATGCATCATTTTTATTTATCAAACACTTTCCACTTTGTGCTTTTGCAAACCTTTTAAGCTTGTTCTTTATGGTTCTTTAGTCATGGCATGGAATATTGTTTCAGAGAGTTTGAGGATTCCAGAATTTTGGAATGACTCCAGATTGAGAAGTATACCATTTTTGCCTCCAGATATTCCAGTTCCTGGAATGTGGTCCATAAGAGCTTGCATATAATGAAAGCTTCAGGCTTCAGAAATGCTCCCCACCCATGAATTATGTCAATTAAATTGGCTCTTCATCTCCCTTTTTATAGATATTCCTGTATAAAAGGACAGAGTTTATGAAAAGATTGAAACATTGAAGCTCTTCTCTCAATGGTATACTACAGCCTGCCCAACTTTCCTTTCAGGTTGATAGCTGAAGGATCAGAGAAAATCTTCTCATAGCATATCTTCCCTAATATGAAGAGAGAAGAGTTACTTCTAGAAGTGTTGCAAGATCTAGGGAAGAACATCTGGCCCTTCATCATTCACAGTGGTCCTGTTGGTATAGCCATAATGTACGGCTACCAGATCTTGGGTGCAGAAATCCAGGTGATAAATAATTGGCCAGATCTGGTAGCCTTCTATTCTATTCTATTCTATTCTATTCTATTCTATTCTATTCTATTCTATTCTATTC